GTTGGATCAGGGCCGGGTTCTTCACCCCCCCCCCCCCCCGCCCCGCTCCTGGAAAAGGCCACCTCCCGACCTGGCCCTTTTTCTCGCCGTGTGTGCACGCGCAACGTCGCTTTCCCAGCGGCACCCTGCCCCCCCCGGCGGCATGCCCAGGCTCATGCCCTGGCCACCCTCTCTGTCCCCGGGGTCAGGCGCATGTGTGGTGTGTTTGGATGGTGTCCCTCCCTGCCTTTGGCGCGAGAGGCCCCCCCCCCCCTGAGGCACACCCACGCGAGGGAGGGTGATTTCGGGACCCTCTCCGGGGCACATCGCCCTGGCCTAGTCTCCAACAAGCAGAAGTCGGCTCTTTCCCTATTGCTTGAGTAGGTCTTCCGCCCTCCGCCCCTCCCCCCCCCTCTTCCCTATGCCTCTTTCCCTCCCCCTCCCCCCTCCATGCAGCCTGCCTTTGTCCGCCGCCTCCGCCACCGCACCCCCCATCGTCAGCGTCGTGTCGCATCCTCTCGCCCAACAATCTCCCCATGCCTTCCGGAGGGCGGCGGGGCAGGGATACACGTTCCTTCCCCCCCCCCCCCCCTACCAGCCTGTGTCGATGCATGCGCCCAGTCTTTTCACATTTGAGGAGGACAGTTCCCGGGGAGATGCATTCACACTGTGAGATGGATCGACCGCCTTGACGCATGCGACGCACTCTCTCCCCTTCTCCCACCGCAGCGGAGTGCCTTTCTCCGGCGCCAGGGCACACTCATCCGTGATGTAATCCCCCCCCAGCCATGCACAGCAGGGCACCCCTCGCCCGAGTGCCCTGTCATGTTGTCATGCTGGGGCACTTCCTCACGCTTGCTGTTGAGCCAGGTGGCGGGGCTTGGCGGAGCAAGGAAAAGCGTCTGCCCGCCCCCCTCGCTCCCCCTCCTGTGTGCTGGCGCTCCAATTACATGGCCATCCCTCTCCCCTCCTCCTCCTCCTCCTCCTCCTCCCCCCCCCGCGTCTGTCCTTCCCACCTAACTCCCCGCCTCCTTCTGTCCTCCTTCTTTGGGCTTTTCAGACTAGATTCAACATGTCCCGCCAGTTTGCCGTACGTTCATCCGCTACCGGCGCCCGGTTTCTGGTTTCTCCCCCTCTCCGCCCACTTTCCTCTCCCCCTTGCTAACCACCCTTCACGACCCACAGACCGCTATCCTCTCGAACGGCGTTCGCCTCGCCAGCACCCCGGCCCTCGGCTCCGCCCAGACCCTGTCTCTGGCTGTTCGTGCTGGCTCCGTTCACGAGACCGTTGCCAACCGTGGTGCCTCTCACCTGCTGTCGATGTTCGGCTTCCAGGTATGTTCCCTTCGCTCTCCCCCCTCCCCCAATAAGAGCGTCTCCATCAAGCAGCCACTGACATTCCCCCCCCCCACCCCACCCCACCCCCCTCACCCCTGCCTGGGTGTGCAAACAGTCCACCGAGAACCGCTCTCCGGTCAACATCATCCGTGAGTCCGAGCTCCAGGGTGTTGCCCTGCGCCGCTTCCGCGACCGCGACCTCCTCATCTGGAGCGCCGATTTCCTCCCCTCCCAGCTGTGCGCACCTCATTCCCTCTCCGCCTCCCCCCCTCCTCCCTCCCTCTCCGCCTTGCCTCGGCCCGGGGGGGGGACCCATATTCCGCTTCGCTTGCCGAGCCTAACTCCCTTGCTTATCCTCCCCCCCCCAATCAGCGACTACGCCGCTGGTCTTCTGGCTGATGTTGCTCACAACACCCGCTTCGAGGATTACGAGGTTCGCGACCTGACCGTCGCTGCTGGCAAGCAGACCGCCGAGTGCCTGGCCAACCCCTCCGCCTTTGCCATGGATCTCCTCCACAACATGGCCTTCCGCTCTGGCTATGGCAACTCCCTGTTCGCCGACCAGGCCGCTCTCTCGGCCCAGCCGCTCACCGCCGTCAAGGACTTCTTCAAGCAGCGCATGACCAGCGACAACGTTTCTCTCATCGGTGAGTGACCTTCCTTGCCATCATCATCATCATCATCATCGTCATCATTGTTGGCGGTCTATTTTGTCGGCCGGTGATGAGCTCCTATCTCTCTCTCTCTCTCTCTCCCGCTCCTCTTCCATCACCCCAGTCCCTCCCCTCTCCTGACTCATGACCGCCCCTGCTCTCGCTCCCGGGGTTTCTCCTGCGTCCCCCCTTCCTTCCAGGCTACGGCATCGACATTGTTGATCTCGAGTTCGCCCTCACCAACACCTTCAAGGCCCTGCCCACTGGTGCCGAGGACGCCACTGCCAAGGCTGCTGCCAAGTACTTCGGCGGTGAGTCGTACATCCCCAACCTCCACATCGAGGAGAACGTCATGGCCATCGCCTTCGAGGGCGTTCCCCTGAACGATGCTCGTGCCTCTGCTTCCATTGTCCTGGAGAAGCTCCTGTCCAGTACGTCCTCCATCCCAAGCATTCTCCATCTGCACACACGCAGCGATGAATCTTCCCCCCTTCTCTTCCCTGCTGGCTGTCGTCCCCGTGCTTTGCCATGACTAACCCGATGCCTCTCCTGCCACCGCCCCCCCCCCTCCCCCCTCCCTTTCCAGCCAACTCCCCTGTCAAGTATGGTGCCAGCGGCATTGCCCCGTACACCGGCAAGCTTGTCGCCACCGAGCCGGCCTCCTCCCTGATCCCCTTCAGCCTGAGCTACGCCGCCACCGGTCTCAACGGTGTCCTGCTCAAGGCCCCCTCCGCCGCCATTGGTGGCCTTGCCACTGACGTGGTCACCCACCTGAAGTCCCTCACTGGCACCGTTGATGCTGCCAAGCTGACCGCCGCCAAGAACGCCGCCAAGATGGAGCTCCTCACCACCGCCGAGTCTCGCACCGGCGCCACCCACCATGCTGCTCAGCACCTGCTCCTCGGCTCGGCCACCACTCTGGCCAGCATCGACGCCGTCTCGGCCGCCGACATCCAGAAGGTCCGTCCTCTCTATCTCTCTCTCTCTGCCTCCCCGCGTCCGGTTGTCCCCGTCGCCTTGGGTGCATCCTCTGGCCGCCTCCCGGGCCGGGCCTCTCACGCCGCTCTTCGTTGCATTTCTCTGACGCCATCCTCTCTGTTTGCCTCATCCTTTCACGCCGCCCTTGCACACGCACGCACACACAGCTCGTCACTGGCATGCTCAAGTCCAAGCCGACCGTCGCCTTCGTTGGTGACATCTCTGCCGCCCCCCAGATCAACCTCAACTAAGTGTTGTTCTTTGTCGCGTCGACCTCCCCCTCCTCTCTCCCCCTCTCCACATGCCAGATCCCCGTCTATACCTCCCCCCTTCCCCCTCTCCTCTGTGGGCGGGCAGGACTTGGAGGGCGCATTTGTCTCGCCCTCCTTCCTCTTGTCATTTCCCCCTCCCCCCCTCCAAAAGCTCAAATCCACCCCTCTTGTCTCCCTCCTCCCTCCCGGGCCCCTTATACAGTTGCCGGGGGGGCGGGAGCATGGCACGTGTGTGTCCTCGTGCGCCGCGCACAATGCATTATAAAGTATACTTCCCGTTCTCCCCCCCCCCCCCCTTCCCTTCCTCCCCTCTTGTTGGGGGAGAGGCAAAGGTGAAAGGTGTTTTTCTTTCCAACCGGGGTGTGTGTATGTGTTTGTTGAGAAGGGTCGGGCATGGTGGATCAAATCCTGGATGGTCATGGTACCGCAAAAAGCGTGCCCCCTCAGGCCTGAGCGCCAGCACACACATACACACACACACTCAGTCCTGCTTCTTCCACTGCGCGTGCAGCTTCTTCATGTGCTCAACCGAATGGAGCGGCATGTCGAGGGAGGTGTCGATCGAAATCAGGGGGAAGTCCGCCGGAGCATCGTCCAGGTTCTCGACACCGGCACTGCCAAGGTGCTTCTGGCAAAGGTGCCATCCGCAGAGGCCCAGGTAAGAGTGGATCGGATCCGGCGAGCCGCCCATCGAAGACGACAGACCACCGATCACCGACTGGCACTTGGAGAGGTAGGTCATGATTTTGGCATGATCCGGCAGGTGGCCGGATTCCAGGAGCTGGGGATTGCCAAAGGGGTTAGGGGGGGGGGCGGGGGCGGGCGGGCGGGCGGGCGGGAAGGTGCATGCGATGGGCGCAAGCGCGGCGGGCGACCAGTGGGCGATTGCGCACCTCAATGGAGGAGCCCACCCAGAAAGAGTAGCAGGAGTCCTCGTCCTTGTGTGGACGGCCATTGTAGCTGAGCTCCAGCTGGCGGTGGATGAGCCACTAGGTCATGGAAGGCCGAGTGGAAGGGGCGGGGCGAGAGAGAGGGAGAGGGGACAGGGAGAGCATGGTCATCGAGGTCAGGGAGGTGCACAGCTGGCCAGGAGGGCCATTGATGATGCAAGAACGGCGCACCTGGATGGTGTGGTCCCGGTCGGGCAAAGCCTCATCCAGTTTGCCCATGAGGCTGAGCGAGGCCAGAGCACAGAAGGTCGAGCCGCCATGGGACTCCAAGAAGGGCCCCTGACCAAAGCCGCCATCGTAGTTCTGTTTGGCCGAGCCCATTTGAGGGGGGCGCATGTGCATGTGTTTGCGCGAACATGTAAGTGCATGGACATATACAAACGCATGTCAATGGGCATGGATGGGCGTTGGAGGCGCCGGAGGCAGCCATTGATGGGAGAGGGCAAAATGGCCGACCGAAACGCACGTAGCTCTGGCGAATGTACTCCAGCGCGCGAACCTGGTCGATGCCAGACCAGTCATCCAGCAGCCAAGATACGGCGCAAGCACTGAACAGGAAGCGCATGTCGTACTCGCTGTCGCCGATCCCCGGCAGGGGCTGGCCATCGGGGCCGGGAGCGGTGAAGTCAAGTGCCTTCATGCCCGGACCATAGGAAACCGCCTGGAAGGAGCCATCCTCCCGCTGGAGCGACCGCAGGTGCTGGACAATGGCTGCGCGGTTGACCCGGGAGAAGTCGTCTCCGAGAATGGCCAGAGCAGCCAGCGCACAGTAGGTCATGGTGATGTGCGATGTGTCCAGGGTGTGGATGGGGCTGTCGGAGGATGCGGAGGAAATTTGCTCGCCGCACCCGAGCACACTGCTGGACCGGAAGCCGGCGGCACCGCCGTTTTCCGACGTCGGTTCCACCTGCATCATGTAGATCCAGTCGGCCACAGCGGTTCCGGCACCGCTGGCCTTCAGCGACTCGAGGGAGTCGGTGATGGCCATGCCCCCGATCAGGAAGAACACGAGCGACATGCGCGACGGCTCGAGGGTGGCGAAGTAGTGCGGGATCGGCCCGAGCAGACACTTGTCAAAGTACTTGCGGTGCTTCTCCACCCCAAGAGGGGCCTTCAGGATGGGGGCACCCGTGGAGGATGGCATGGTGCTGGGAGGGGGCAGGTAGAGGGAGGGGCAGCGGAGGAGGGGAGGGGGCAACCAGTGGTGACGGCAGCGGTGGCGGTGGCGGTGGCGGTGGCGGTGGTGGGAGGGGGGGGGGCGAGGGGAGAGGGCAGATAGAGAGGGAGGGGGCTGCTCGCGCCTTGGCTTTTCGGGCCGGCAGGCAGCAAAAGAAATACCCCCCTCCGCCGGGGGACTGGAGGAGGAGATCTTGGTTATGAAAAACGCATATCCAGGCCCCTTGTGTCCGGGAGCGAGGAGCAGCCCCCAGTCCGCCCTCGCACACTCTCGTCATTCAGACCTTGCTTGCCCCCAGCTTCCGAAGCGTGTGATGAGCCCCATTTGGGCGAGACAACACTCGGCAAGAGCTGGTCCGGTCTCCATGTGTGTGAGGTGCCACAAAAATAAAAGCGCCTCGGCGGGGGGGGGGGAGCCTACCAGCAGAATAAAAGCACACCGGGCGCGCTAGTCAATTTGGGCAGAATCGCGAGGATTAACAAGTCACTCGGGGCTGACCATCTGGGTGCACCTCCGACTCCGGGGCAGAGCAAGTCCGTTTGAGGCGCGGGGAAAATCGACCGCTCACGTACTTGATTCTGATCACCGAATACAATGCAAATAGTCTGTCGCCCTCCGGGTGGCCCTGCTCCGGCCTTCCGCGCTGGGCCTGAGCCAAGGGTTAACTGTATTAGGGGCGTCCATTAACGTGTCCCTATATCACGTGTATATCACGAAGGACTCCATGCGTGTGCGTCCCCCGCCGACCACCGTGCAGCGAGCCCACGCAGCCCGTGCGCCGAAATATTCCACCCCTCGGTTTCCTCACTCCCCCGCCCCCCCCCCCCTTTGCCCTGGGTTTCGCGCCCGGCTCGGTCCCCGCCACTTTCGGGGGGATGCCCGCACTGGCCGGAACGGTCCCCGCGCTGTCCAGGCCGCCTGCGGACCGCAACGCCGCGCGACCGCGGGCCACCCACGCATGAGCCCACCATCTTATTTGTCGTCTCGAAAACCCGCGTGTGGCGATGGGCCCGGCCCCCCCCCCCCCACCCCGGGCCCAGGGACCTCCTGCTCGTGGCCGGAACACTCTCGACCCCCCCCCCGCCCCCCCTCCCCCCGGACCCAGGTGCCATTTTTTTCCACCCACATACTTGAGCCTGGCAAGACTTTGCCTCCCCATCTGAGATCCTGCCCTCGAGGTTTTCCTTCTCCGCCTCCTCCCCTCCTTCTCCCATCTCCCTCTCTTTCCTTCCCTCCCCTGCCTGCCCCTCCCCCTTCTCCCCCCCCCCCGCAAAGTTCGCCCTTCCCCCGCCCGCCCCAAACGCCTCTCCCCCAACCCCGGAGCGACAACCATGGCCGCCGCACCCCGGGCTTCGAACTCCGCGGCTGCCCTTGCTGGCCGCAAGCGCTCCACCCGCTCGGATGACGCGCCGCTCACGCGTTCCCAGACCAAGACCAAGGCCGATCGCGCGGATGACACCGCTCTGGCTGCCCTGATGGCTGATCAGAGCGCCGTCCTTGGCGAGGACGATTCGAGCTCTGGCGAGGAGCAGGGCTCCGTGCGTGAATGCAGCTCTCCCTCTCCCTCCCCTGTCGGTGGTCTTTTGCCCCAACTTACCTTTTCCGTCCGTCTGTTTTCGCCCCGGCGCAGACTGCTTCCGAGGCCGAGAGCGATGATCTCGCCGACTTCAACTCCGATCCTGATGTCACCTCCTCTGTATGTCTTTCCCCCCCCCCCTCCCTCCCAAACCCTCACGCGGTTGCCCATATTGCCCTTCCTACCCTTGACTTACTCGACTTTCTCTCCTTCCCCCCCCCCCTTTCCCCGTCTCCCCATCCACAGGAGGATGAGGATGATGATGCCCCCGAGGGCGAAGATGTCGACTCTGGCAACGATGCCTCCGAAGACGAGCTCAACCGCATGCTGGCCGCCGAGGATGGCGAGTCGGATAGCTCCGAGAGCTACGACGAGGAGTCCGAGGAGGAGAGCAGCGACGAGGAGGAGATCGAGCCGGCGGTGACGCTGAGCGGCCTGCGTGTGGTTCAGCGTGGTCGGCACTTGGACATGCCGGACACCCTGCCTTCCGAAGACGAGGATCCAGCCACCGCGCCGGGGCACTCGACCGATGAGGAGATCCGGCAGGCGCTGGAGCGTAATCGGCCGAATATCCCCGGGCCGCTGGAGCATGTGCCAGCCTTCCCCTTCCAGCAGGATGTCGACTCTTCGGATGAGGCTCCCTCGGACTTGTCGGACGATGAGCACACCACCAATCCCGTGGGTCGGGGCATCCCGAGCGAGTGGTATGCCGACCATCCGCACATCGGCTACGACTTGGATGGCAAGCGTATCATGAAGCCGCTCGAGTCTCTGGACGAGCTGGATCGCTTCCTGGCCAAGATGGGCACCGACGCCGAGAACGATGACTACTGGCGCACGGTCAAGGACAAGTACGGCGCGTCGCTCAAGCTCTCGGATGAGGAGCTCCAGCTCATCGACCGGATCATCAGCGGCCGCTATGCCGAGCAGGAGTCGGCCAACATGTACCCGGAGATGATTGAGTACTACTCGGGCAAGCCGATGGCTCATCCGCTGCCGCAGCCGACCGAGCCCAAGCGTCGTTTCATTCCCAGTAAGTGGGAGGGTCAAAAGGTCCGTGTACTCCTCCTTTGCCGTGGTCTCTCTGTGCTTTTTTTTTTTCGCTTCTCCCGGCGTGCTGATGCTCGACAGCGGGCGACGCCGCCCTGCTCCTGGTGGTGACTAACTTTTTGACATCCTCTTCTTTGCTTTGTTCACTCAATTACCGAATGTCCCTTCATTTTGCTCGCCTTCCGCCGCCGCCGCCGTCATCACGCCCCACCACCGCGCGCCTCCCACAGGTTATGAAGCTTGTGCGCGCGGTGCGCATGGGCTGGCTGACCCCTCGCGCGGCCAAGAAGGACTCTCGGCCCAAGTACTACAACATTTGGGCCAAGGAGTCCTCCGAGGAGGCCCCCAACAGCTCGGCCTCGTCGAACTACATCCCGGCGCCCAAGATGCGCCTCCCAGGGCACAATGCTTCTTACAACCCTCCTGAGGAGTACCTTTGGACTGAGGAGGAGATCCGCGAGTGGGAGGAAGCTCACCCTGAGGACCGCAAGGCCAAGTTCATCCCGCGCAAGTGCGTCTCTTCCTTCTCCCTCTCCTGCTCGCTCGCCCGCGCGCTCTCTCTCTCTCTCTCTCTCTCTCTCCCTTTCTTTCCCCCCGGCATCATGCCCTCTTTTTTCCATTTCTTCCTCTCTGTCCTGGGACTTACCTTCTCTTCATCTGGCGCATCTCTCTCTCTCTCTCTCCCCCTCCCTCCCTCCTCCATGTACCGCCCTCCCCCTTTTCAATCCAACAACAGGTATGACAGCCTTCGCCAGGTCCCGGCCAACCCGCAGCTCATCCAGGACATGTTTGAGCGCTGCCTGGATCTGTACCTCTGCCCGCGTGTGCGGAAGAACCGCCTGCAGATCGACCCGGAGTCGCTGATTCCGCGGCTGCCCCGGCCGCGCGAGCTTCGTCCCTACCCGACCACCGAGTCCATCCGGTATGAGGGCCACACCGGCAAGGTTCGCTCGATCTCCGTCTGCCCGACTGGCGAGTGGCTCCTGTCCGGCTCGGATGACGGCACTGTCCGGGTGTTTGAGGTTTCCACCGGTCGGTGTGCCTTTAGCCTGGATCTGGGCCAGCGCGTGAACGCGGTGGCCTGGAACCCCATGCCCGGTACTTTCCTCTTCACGGCGGCCGCCGACTCGACGGTCTTCTTCGTGGCGCCGCCCGCCGTCGGCACGCTCGAGGCCACGGAGATGACTCGCTCCCTCATCCGGTCGTCCATCGAGAAGAAGGGCTCTTTCTCGGCGCCGCCAAACGCCCGCCCGGTGCACATCGACTGGGTTCTCCCCTCGGAGGAGGAGGCGGCCAAGTCCATTGTCCTGAAGCTGGAGCATCGCTTTGTGGTCACGCGCCTGGCGTGGCACCGCCGTGGTGACTACCTTGCCACCGTGTGTGCTGACGGTGCGTTTTTGGCTGATCCCCTCCCCTGTCCTGACCCGTGTTCCTGGTGGTGGTGATGGTGTCCGCCAGTCCACCTGCTTTCTTTGTTCGCCCGTGCTCCCCCCCCCCCTTCCCTCTCTCTCTCCCCCCTGTCATTGCCCAGCGTGTTGCTCACCTCTCCGCGTGCCTCCTCTCTCTCCCCCCCCCCTTCCTCGGTCACCTGCAGGTCTTTCCCGTGCCATCGCCATCCACCAGCTCTCCCGGCACATGTCGCAGCATCCGTTCAGCCGGAACCTCGGCCACATCGAGCGTGTTCTCTTCGACCCGGCCAAGCCGCACCTCGTGGTGGCCACCCAGAAGACTGTGCGCATCTACAACCTGCAGAAGCAGCAGCTCGTCAAGCGCCTGCGGTCCTCCTCAAATCACATCTCCTCGGTGGCCCTGCACCCGGCCGGCGGCGAGCACGTCCTGGTCGGGACCTTCGACCGGCGGGTTGGCTGGTACGATCTGGAGCTGTCGTCCGACCGGCCCTACCGGACACTCCTGTACCACAAGTATGCCGTGCGCGCGGTGGCCTACCACAACAGCTACCCGCTGTTTGCCTCCTGCTCGGATGATGGCACTGCCCAGGTCTTCCATGGTCGTGTCTTCAGCGACCTCCTGCAGAATGCCTTGATTGTCCCCCTGAAGATCCTCACTGGCCATCGGATTGTCGATGGCTTTGGCATCATGGACTGTGCTTTCCATCCGTCCAGGCCGTGGCTCTTCACCGCCGGTGCCGACGGCACGGTGCGTCTGTTCGTCTGAGACGCTGGCAGCCGGTCCCCTCAAGAGGGGGGATCCTTTTCCCCTGCCTCCCTTCGTCGCGCCACCTCTCCCTCTTCGCGTGTGCCGTACTTGCTCTCCTTCGCCGCCATCCTCTCATCCACGGGTTGAAGATGGTACGAGGAGCAAAGGACCACCAAAGGCGGGAGGGGGCAAAAACGCGCAGACGCAGGAACAATACTCTCCTCCCCTTGGCACCATTCCTCCTCCGAAGCACCGGGATTGGGAAGAAGAGCGAAGAGAGGACGGCCCCGAGGGGGAGGTGTGGCGGCTTGAGAAGAAGCCCATCATATGCACCCACCTGGATGGTGACCGTCCCTTCTCGTCCACCGCTCTCTCGTCTGGCCATTTATTTTGGTCCCTTTCTCCGCTCCTTTCCTCTTGCTTCTCGTGCGCGCGTGTGTGGGTGCAGGTGTCCCCGATAGATTCATTCTGAACAGATGTGTAATACACAGCAAGCTGTCTGCATTCGAGTTTGTTCGTGTTCGTGCTCGTGTCCGTATGTGCCTCAACCCGAGGTGGGCCTGCAGAGGATGGGCGGGCTGTCCCAAGCACACGGTGGTGAGGGGCGCGGCACGGCAGAGCAATCCAGCGAGGGGGAGGCATGCGTGTGTGTGTGTGTGTGTGTGCGTGTGCGTGTGTGTGCGTGTGCGTGTGTGTGCGTGTGTGTGTGCGTAAGTGTGTGCGTAAGTGTGTGCGTAAGTGTGTGCGTAAGTGTGTGCGTGGGTGTGTGCGTGAGTGTGTGCGAACTCGGAGCAAGCGCGATGTGTTAGATGGAGTGCCGACGCACGTGAAATGTTATTCGAATGGATGGGGCGTCCTCGGTCAAGGGCGCCTCATGCGGTGGCATTTGCGGCGCCGACCGTTGGCCCCCCAATGGATGGGCCGCGAGCACGGCGTCGGGCCACCTTCATATGAGAGTGTTCTGTCGCCGGGGGGAGGGGGCAGGATGAAAAGGCCTCAAGCGCATGTATCTCTGCCCGCGGTTTTTTGTCCTCGCAGCGCCCCCCTCCACGAGTGGGTGTAGGGTGGTGTACTTGGCGTCGCACCCGACGTCGTGCTTCCCGCGCCCTTCTGGTGTTCTCGGCGAGGAGAAGGGTGCGGGCGCGCGGGCGCGCGGGTGTGTGTGTGTGGGGGGGGGGGGAGGGGCTGTGGGGCGGGGTGGTGTTGTTTTACGACGTCCTTCGCCTTGTGGCACTAGCTTGCGAGTCCCGGTTCAACAACGAGCACGGAATGGGGGCACATGAAAATCCCGTCTCTCCACTTGAGCCCTGAAAAAGTGAAGACGGAGCCCACCCTGGCCGACCGAAGGCGCCGAAGACAACGGTCCCCGTCCTCTCTCCTCCCCTCTTCCTGACACCCTGCCTGCCCTCCATGTACATACTCCCCCTCCGCTCCCGGCCTTTCCCTCGGCTTGCCTTCCCTCCCCTCCTCATCCCTCCTCGCCTCGCCGTGAGTCCCGCCCTCCTCTAACCACCAGCGCCTGTACCTCTCACTCTTCCTCCCCCCCCCCCTCCCCTCCCCTCCCCTCCCCTGTCTCTCGCATCTCCCAGAGGCTCCCTGTCAAAAATGATCAAGCGCACCGTATGTCCTTGCCCCGTGCCCTGCCCCTTCCCCATGCACCGCGCTCCTTGGCATCTGACTCACATCGTCCCGGTCCTGTCGCAGCTTGCCCTCCCCTTTCTCCTTCTGATTGCCCTCTTCTCGGCCGGTGCTCTGGCCGCTGAGGAGATCACCTTCGAGTCCGATGCCCCGGCCCTCAAGCCCTTCCTCATTGCCGCCAAGACCATCAAGTCCTTCGATGCCGAGGAGACTGGCCTCTTCGTGGTCAACCGTCCGATGACCGTCCAGTATGATTTCTACAATGCCGGTGATGCCCCGGCCTTTGATGTTCGTCTGTCGGATTACAGCTTCCTCCCGGAGCCCGAGACCGAGGACGAGCCGAAGGAGGAGTTCAAGCTCGTCTCCGGCAGCCACACCTCCGTCATCAAGGAGATCCCGGCGTGCGTGTTTGGTCTATGCTGCCCCCCTCCCCCGGTCAGACATGCGGGCTGTTCCCCCCCCCCCCCCTCCCTCGCCTCTCCTGGCCCCCTCCCTCCCCTCCTCTTCCCGGCCGCCCCGCAAATACTCCTCAGTGAATCTCACCTCTTCCTCTTCCCCCATCATGCCGCACTGGCCCCCTACCCTCCTATTTTCCTCCCCCCCCCCCTCGAGCAGTGGCGAGAAGGGCACCATCACCTACACCATCCGCCCGCTGATCAAGGGCACTCGTGTGGACAAGCCGGCCGACTTCTCCTACCGTCCGACCGCCGGCAGCAATGCCATCATCGTGCGTCGGCCGATTCCTGTTGCTTCAGCGTGCATTCCCCC